CCCTTCGAAGTTTTTCAGTTTATATATGCGTATTTACTTGACCAAATCTGGAATATTTCTCGCGTTTCCCATTCCAAAATATACGAAAATATATACGCAACTTCTTCTCTAAATCTCGAAAATCGAAATTGGAGGGAAATCTTTCACCAGGTTGTCAATCAACGAAGCGTTTAGTTTCGAATATTTTTACCACTGAATTTATGATTTGATGAATTGATGGGCGTGGGTCTGGATTTCAATACTGATTTAGCGAGCCTTGATAACAAAATGTTGCAATTTCCCGAGCTGGAGGTGCCTATTCTGACCATCCAAGCCAATCGTCATCTCGCCGAGAAGCTTTTTGATCAGTGGCTTTCGCTTCGGGAAACAAATAATTAGGTAAAATTGTTTTTATTTTGATTATTATTTTCAGTTTTGGTCTATCAATATGTTGGACGCTTTTAGTGTGTATAGGTTGCTGTTTAATTAATTGTGAGTTTCAATTTGGGATTTTTTTCCTGTGAGTTTCAATTTGGGATTTTTTTCCTTTCTTTTTTTTTTTTTGTTGTCTATTAAAGGATTGGCGTGTGAGTTAATAAATAAGGTTAAAGGATGAATGCTGCTTTACACGCAATGATGTTTGGGTAGAGAAAATGAGATAAAATACTGGGGATTTCATAGAGGAAATTGTGATTTTTGTTTGAAATTCCATCTCTGTTTCCTGTTGCTTTTTCAAGAATCGTTCGAAGGGGAACAAACTTGTTTAATTTCGGAAAGTGAAGGAACGGAGAATTATAGCCGGGTAATAGAGATAGGAGGTTGAAAAAAAAAAAAAAAAAACCAAAACTCTACCCAGTTTTAGCCCATGCAATTGCATGGTAAACTAAAATGGTATGGCTTTTTGTCCTGCATTATTTGCGGGTAGGACCTGTTCGCCTATTATTTATTGCTATCTATTCCCCATATTTTACAACTATCTATGAATTGCAAGTAAGATATTTGCTCTATAAGGCGAAGAAAGATCATTCTTTGAATGTTTCTGGACCATCATCTATCGCAAATGCTGCAGCAAACAATTTTCTTCCTTCAGTGTTTCTTTCTGTCAATAAACGACCACTTTCACCAGAAAGTCCATCCGGATCACCTAGTGTCAAGAAACAGAAGGCGGACCTGCCTGCTTTAGGCTCTCCCAAGAAATTAGTGAATGACCCTAGCAAAGAGCTTACACCGCAGGTCGGAGTAGTCAATAATATCATTGTATTATAGTAGCAATTTTTAGGTTTTTCCCTCTGCATGTGGTGCTTTTGCTGAAACTCAACTTTGAATATTGACGTTATGCTGATAGTTGTGATGAATGCAGTTCTATTTTCAAAATGGCTGTCCACCCCCCAATGAATTGATAGAGGAGTGCTTGTCTAGAATTAATCAACTATTTCCTGTTGACATGAATGGACTTCAAAGCAACAGTGAGAATTACGACATATTCTTGTTTGGCACAGTTGCACCGGACATAAACACCGAGGTTCTCATTGCTATTTGTTATGTTCTCTTCATACATCTGAAACTTACAACGTAAGATGTGAAAAAAAAAATTGTGCACCAGTGTCTTTATGCTGTTTATATTTTCATGGATGTTAGAATTCAAACGAGTTACAAAGGAAATATGCAAGCTCCCATCATTCTTCTCCACTGCACTTTTTAGAAAGATTGACATCAACTGCACCAGCATTGTGACCAGGTAGATGTCATGTTATTATTTTCCTTTCTTTCCTTTTCTTTCTTTTCATGTATGCACCCAAGTGAGAAAATATTGTCTCGCACCAACTCGATCCAAGAAAAAATTAGTCATATTATTCATTAGTTCAATCACACTTAACCTTACTTAACTACTTTAGTTTTGAATGAGGAAGCCAATTGTTTATTGTTAGATTTCTCTCTGTCCTTTCATACATGCTCACAAATGAGAAAATATTGACTCACACCAGGTAGTTACGGGAATAAGGTAGTTTTATTAGGTGCATGTTTTATCACATTTGCGCCTCTACCTTCTCATATACCTTGATGTTCAATCACATTTACATTTCTAACTTCTCAAGTACCTTGAATTACGACATAAGTTTTATGTACAAAAGCAATTATTTGTTTTTGATTAATTACGAAATACGTAGTAAAAATTATACGAACTTGTGTCTCTTATAATTATAAAGGGAAAGACTCTAGTTATAAGGTTACAAATAATCAAAATTGGAAAGCTAAAACTACCTACCATAATCTTCCCTAGTAAGAGTTGTTATAATAATATGTTCAGTACAAACAAAAGAAAACTAGATTGAATATTCTAAATAAGGAGACAAATATATAATCCAGCTTGTCTAAGATAGACTGAACCAGTAAAATCAAATATTTTGACATGTAAGAGGAGGTGTAAGCTTCAATACAAAAATAAAATAATTAATAAGATATAAGAGACTCAAAATTATGCTTGTAATAAACTATAAACCACGGTGAAAGTTCACATAAAACAATTTAGTAAAAGTAAATGCCTGATTTGCAAATGAAAATAAATAAATCATCGAAGTAACGAATAATAAATCAATAGAAAGGGATGTGTTTATTAGGGGTGAGAATTGTTTCAGATATACTTAATCCATAATCACTTTATTGAACCTTTTAAGCCATACTTATGCACTTGAATCTTCTAGCATTAGTCTCCACAGAATTAGATGTGTCCATTGTATGTTGGATCAACTGAAACTCGTTCGTAAATTCAAACTTAACTTCTGATGCTAAACACCAGCATTTACTGCATCAGTCAAAGTTACTGGTGGATGACTTGTGCATATATCCTGGATTAATTACTGCTTTTACCAATCATGTTTAGATTTGATTCATCCTCTCTTAGGCTCTTACTTTGTCTGCCGATGTGGAAATAGAGATACATTTGTTGACTTTTGGATTATCGGTAACGTGTTGATAAAAGATATAGCAGCCCGGATATACACAATCTTGAAGCAGTCCAATCTCAAATACTTAACTCAGGTTATACGAGTACCAATAATGATATATGTTTATAGAAAATTAAGTTTAGCAGCATCATTAATACAAGTCAACTTGATACTAGGATGACTTTAAACCTGTGCTCGGGGAACTTTTGGCATCTCATCCAGGGTTGCAGTTCTTACAGAGTACGTCTCAATTTCAAGACAGATATGGTATGTTCTAAATCATTTGCTCGACTTTTTGTAGTGACTTTGATCAATTTGGTTTGAATTACTTAGCTATATGTTTTGAGTAATTTTTCTGATTGCTTATTACTATTGCAATAATATAATTCTGTTAGCGTCTAGAATAACAGAGGAATACCTAACATTAGAGTTAAATTATAATTCAAAATTCACTAATTTTGTATGGGATTCATTAACCTAAGTTTTCCTGTCAAATCATACCAAATACGAAATATGCTTCCGTAACAAGTGAGCCTGTGAAATTTTTCCTTCAATACTGAAATTCTTTAAAACCCATGGTTCAAAAAAGGGGTATGAATTGTAGTTGGTTACCTTGTGTCCATGAAAAGAAGATCTTGTATACTTTTGGAGTTGTTGACTGTTTCTCTTTATACCTATTAATATGTCATGCATGTGGTGAAGTGGAATTATCTGAAGATTAATTAACTGAATTTTCAATTCATTATAGGCACTTCAAGTCACTTTCGTAGTATATTATATTCTGTTTCTACATGCATTTGACACCAATATCTTTTATCAGGTTCAAGTGCATAGATTTTGATGCAAATGGAGATATAACAAGGAATTAAATGCAATACTTCTACAAGGATCTGAAGCATAGAATGGAAGACCTGCACAAAAAGGCTGTGCCTTTTGAGGATATTTTGTGTCAGATAGTTGACATGGTTAATCCACGGGTGATCATCCATTAGATTGTATTTCTTAAAATTTTTTGCTAATTTTTGAGTTTCTTGCCTATGTTTTTTTATTACCACTTTTAATTTAATCTTTCTTGTGCTTTAGGCAACGAGTAGGTTTGAGGAACCGCATGACCAATTTTTTTTTTCCTGAAACAAATTTTGTCATTGTTGTCGCTTATAATTCTTTTCTGATCATGCCTTTTTATTTTACCATTGGAGACAGCAAGATCTTGAAAACCTTTTTCTAGCTATTGAATAAAATGCCATGCTTGTTTCCAAAAAGAAACTTTCTTCTACATCATTGTATAATTGAGGGTTTCTGTTCTCCCTTGCATAATTTTACCCTGGTGTTATTGTCAGGGTCAGAACCATAATCTGACATTTTATAAATTATGCTTAAAGGAAACAGAAATGAAGTAGACTGTGAGATGGTGGTCCTCTTAAAAAAGGTATTTTGGCATACTAGAAAGGAGCACTAATATGGAATTTCTGGACAGTATTGATGGAGAAAAGAATGGTACATCTGCTGAACTACTATGGCTGGAGAAGCTGCTTCTATTGTCACTTTCGGTTTTGATAAGATGTCTGTGTTCAGGTCTTAGATTTGAGGTGGTGCTTCAACATTAACACTAATGAACTTTGATGCACACTAAACGCTTTAACTCTGCAGTGGGCATTTTCTTGTTACAACAAATGCTGCAGCAAACAATTCTCTTCCTTCAATGTTTCTTGCTGTCAATAAACGACCACTTTCACCAGAAAGTCCATCTGGTTCACCTAGTGTCAAGAAACAGAAGCAGACCTGCCTGCTTTAGGCTATCCTAAGAAATTAGTGAATGACCCTGGCAAAGAGCTTACACCGTAGGTCGGAGTAGTCAATAATATCGTTATATTATAGTGGCAATTTTTCCAGTTTTTTCCCTCTGCATGTGGTGCTTTTGCTGAAACTCAACTTTGAATATTGACGTTATGCTGATACTTGTGATGAATGCAGTTCTATTTTCAAAATGGTTGTCCACCCTCCAATGAATTGATAGAGGAGTGCTTGTCTAGAATTAATCAGCTATTTCCTGTTGACATGAATGGACTCCAAATCAACGGTGAGACTTACGACATATTCTTGTTTGGCACAGTTGCACTAGACATAAACACTGAGGATCTCATTGCTATTTGTTATGTTCTCTTCATACATCTGAAACTTGCAACGTATGATGTGAAAAAAAATTTTAAAAAAATGTGCACCAGTGTCTTTATGCTGTTTACATTTTCATGGATGTTAGAATTCAAACGAGTTACAAAGTATGCAAGCTCCCGTCATTCTTCTCCACTGCACTTTTTAGAAAGATTGATATCAACTGTACCAGCATTGTGACCAGGTAGATGTCATGTTATTATTTTCCTTTCTTTCCTTTCCTTTTCTTTCTTTTCATGTATGCACCCAAGACATTTCTAACTTCTCAAGTACCTTGAACTAGGAAATAAGTTGTATGTGCAAAAGCAATTATTTATTTTTGATTAATTTGGATTTGGGCATGCATGATTCCTATAATAATTTTGTGCAGTCAACGAGGAAGTGCCAATTTTATTGAACTTTTGTTTGCTATAAGCTGACCTTATTTTTGTATGTCTGTCTTATCACTGTAAAACATTGTGCACTCTTGCATTGTGTTGATTTAATTCTACAGATTGTCTACTTGTTTATTGTCAAACTTGGTGCAAACTTGTTTTCCATCTAAGAAGCAAAATTTGCATAGGATTATAGGTATTAATTGTGTTGAAATTGGTTTATATGAGTTGGTTTTGATTGACTTTGACTAATTATCTGTCTCCATTTGGCAAATTTAAGAGAAAAAGTCCAACCTTCACCTTGACCGAATACATTCTTTGCATTTCTTGTAGAATTAAATTAATCTTTTAATTCTCATACAAATATTGTTGCTTTTATATGCACGTCAAATCAGAATATAATATATGCACTACATTTTACCAGCAAATTCTTTGGAAAAAAATTAGTAAAAATTATATGAACTTGTGTCTCTTATAATTATAAAGAGAGAGACTCTAGTTATAAGGTTACAAATAATCAAAACTGAAAAGCCATCTTACATAGCTTTTACTGATACCGAGCGCCTAATCGGAGATGCTGCCAAGAATCAGGTCACCATGAATCCCGTTAATACTGTGTTTGGTAAGTTTTTCGATTCTTTCTTCTTCCATAATTCCATTTAAGAGTAAATGTTGTTTGAAATTTTTGGACGGTGTCTAATTTAGCAAGTACAATAGGTAATTTTTGCATAGACTTATGTCTTAAAGTTAATCGTTTGATTCTTCGGATTGTGATATTTCGGAGTTCATTATCAAGCGATTTTAAGTTTGTAAATGATTTATAATTAAAAATTTTAGTTATAAGAAGTTTATACGTACAAGTTTATGAATGGCTTAACCAATGTCCAAAAATACAAATGAGCACCTGTTTTTCCAATCTCTCTAATAATTGGTGCCACCGGCCACCCTAATGTGAGTGCATACCTGGTGTGTAAAATTATTGAATAATTTGTTCTGCTAATGCTTAGTTCGAAATTAATTCAATTTTCTGTTCATTCTGAATGGTGTACATAGTTGCTTACACATTGGGAGTATAATTTGAGCACGTTTCTGATTTTCACTTTGTTCATATCGCTCTCGAATTTAATGATTAGGTCATTAATTCATTTCATTAAACCTATTATATTTTTGGGTGTATGGTTATGGTTCGTGAATTTGCTGTTGCTTACATATATTATTTCCTGTATACAGATGCCAAGAGGTTGATTGGTAGAAGGTTTAGTGATCCGTCCGTTCAGAGTGACATGAAGCACTGGCCATTCAAGGTTATTGCAGGCCCTGGTTACAAAGCCATGATTGTTGTCTTACACAAAGGTGAGGAGAAGCAATTTTCAGCTGAGGAAATCTCATCCATGGTCCTCACTAAGATGAAGGAGATCGCGGAGGCTTACCTTGGATCGACGGTTAAGAATGCTGTTGTGACAGTACCAGCCTATTTCAACAATTCTCAGCGTCAGGCAACAAAAGATGTTGGTGTTATTTCTGGTCTTAATGTGATGCGTATAATTAATGAGCCTACGGCTGCTGCCATTGCTTACGGTCTTGACAAGAAGGCGGGCAGTTCATCTGAGAAGAATGTGCTGATTTTTTATCTTGGAGGTGGTACTTTTGATGTTTCTCTTCTAACCATTGAAGAGGGTATTTTCGAAATGAAGTCGACAGCTGGTGATACGCATCTCGGAGGAGAGGATTTTGATAATCAGATGGTGAATCACTTTGTACAAGAGTTCAAGAGGAAGCACAAAAAAGACATTAGTGGCAACCCGAGAGCTCTTAGGAGATTGAGAACTTCTTGTGAGAGGGCAAAGAGAACGTTATAATCAACTGCCCAGACTACTATTGAGATTGATTCTTTGTACGAGGGTATCGATTTCTACACGACTATTACTCGTGCTAGATTTGAGGAGCTTAATATGGATTTGTTTAGGAAGTGTATGGAGCCGGTCGAGAAGCGTCTGAGGGATGCTAAGATGGACAAGAGCAGTGTCCATGATGTTGTACTTGTTGGTGGGTCAACTCGTATTCCAAAGGTACAACAATTGCTACAAGACTTCTTTAACGGAAAGGAGCTCTGAAAGAGCTTCAATCCTGATGAAGCTGTTGCGTACGGTGCGGCTGTTCAAGCTGCGATTTTGAGTGGTGAGGGCAATGAGAGGGTTCAAGATTTGTTGGTATTGGATGTTACTCCTTTGTCTCTTGGTTTGGAGACTGCATGCGATGTTATGACTGTTCTTAATCCGAGGAATACAACCATCCCAACTAAGAAGGAACAAGTTTTCTCCACATATTCAGACAACCAGCTAGGTGTCTTGATCCAAGCAAACGAAGGTGAAAGAACCCGAACCAGAGATAACAATTTGCTGGGGAAGTTTGAACTCTCTGGCATTCCACCAGCGCCTCGGGGTGTTCCTCAGATAAATGTCTGTTTCGACATTGATGCCAATAGCATCTTGAATGTTTCGGCCGAGGACAAGACAACAGGTCAAAAGAACAAGATTACCATTACAAATGACAAAGGAAGACTGTCCAAGGAAGAAATCGAAAAGATGGTACAAGATGCGGAGAAATACAAGGCTGAGGACGAGGAACTAAAGAAAAAAGTTGAGGCCAAAAATTCTTTGGAGAATTACGCCTACAACATGAGAAACACTATCAAGGATGAGAAGATTGCTTCCAAACTTCCTGCTGCTGACAAAAAGAAAATGGAGGATGCTGTTGAGTCGGCCATACAATGGTTAGAAGGGAATCAACTTGCAGAGGTTGATGAATTAGAAGACAAGATGAAAGAACTGGAGAGTATTTGCAATCCAATTATAGCAAAAATGTATCAGGGTGGTGCAGGTGGTCCTGACATGGGCGGAGGCATGGATGAAGACGGCCCTTCTTTTGGTGGCACTGGTCCAGGCCCCAAGATTGAGGAAGTTGATTGAGAATGAAATTTCTTTCTTCTTTCCTTGGATGATTTAAGTGTTCATGTTTCAACTCGTCTTTATTTTGCTTGGCAAAAACACAGTTATCATTCCATATATGTTTGGTTTTGTATTGTTTTGGTGTTTACCTTTAAATGGTAGTAGATTTTGTATAGCCTATGATTTCTTGCTTGTGGTCTAGAAGTTAATTTGGGCAAGTTCATTCTTAACCTTTTAGATGTTAAAGAGTTTACTCTGCACAGATACAACACTGTATTAGTTGGAAAACTTTCACCAATATAATGGAACTTACGACTTGGTTGTATTATACTACACAAAGCAATAAATAAATTAATGTTCGTATCTATGGGGAAATGATTTAGAGGAAAAAAAAAAGTAATAAATTGATGAAGTGCATAAGGAGTTAGAATTTATGATGAAGTGGGATCGCAAGGCAAAATAATGATTTCATGATAACTTTGGGTTTGTCCGTTTTTGACGAATTAATAGTCTAATTTGAGTGGAAACGGGCCAAGGATCACAACTCATCGCCTTCGGCCATGACGTACGTCGGATTTCGGACAGNTCGAATTTTTCCATTTATGGAAAAATATCATTTTTTTTATTTTTATTATTTATTTTCCGAAATTTGCTAGGGTTTTGCTATTTAAACCATTGTAAGCCCTTCGAGCCAGACATTATTGAATTGAATAAAAACTTTCGTGAGTTTATCTCATATTTGTGAGGTTTTTCATCTTTCCTATAATCTTCCGCTACGTCATAAATAAATTTAATTATTATTATTCTCCTGCATCATGCTAGAAAATAATAATATTTATCCTTGTACTTTCTAGCCTATATACAAATGAAAAGTTTTTGGATGAAAAGTTTTTGGATTGTGTGTAATATTATTTTATTGAAGAATGTGTGGTTGAAAAGAAGAAAGAAATAGTTATATTTTGAAAAAAAATAGAGATTAATCAAGGTCGTAATTTTAAAAGTTCAATGAATAGGAGAAGTCACGTAGGACTTGTAGTCTAGTAATTTATAGAGTACGATATTTATAGTGACTCCTAGTGATATGAAATTTTGGGCTAATTATAAAAATGAATAATCAAAATCATTTTTCAAATTTTGTCTGAGAAATCTTGCCTCTTAAGATTATGTGATAAGATCAAATATAACAATAATCAACATTTTTGACAAAATTAACTTCTTAGATATAGAAATTCGTGAAACAACATGCTACAAGGTATGTTCTTTGTAATTAACAATACTGTTTTTAATTGGTTGCCATCCGTGAGAGGTTCTAAGTTTTCCTTGATTCAATCCTCAGGAGTTTGTGTTTAAGGTTTAAGATCAATTCCTCTTCTATATATACATTTTATTAAATAAAATATTTATCTACATTGTCCACACTCCACAGTATTTTCGCTCATGTGATCTAGCCAAAGGTATCTACAAAGGAAGTAAAGGTGAAATGCACATGACCAGAAGTGACACATTGAGGTCGAACCTCCATGTTCGAGGCGAACTGCAACTTTATACTTTCGAAACAATGAGTCTTTGTTCAAATCATCGATTCGTTTAAAAGATCATTTGTACATCTGATTGGTTTGACATCTTTGAACATTTTTGTAGCTTTTGTTCATGGTCCATTTCACACCCAAATACATTTATATAAGTTGAGTTGATTGATTGTTGAAGTTCTCATGATTACATTCTCCACGGTGGGAGAAAGTCATATGCACCTAACACTTGTCCAACTGTGCTGCAACTTGACATGAGGATGAAAGTAGGAACTTCTTATGGCCATGCTATCCAGTTGAAAATCGAGATCAACATGTTTCTCTCTGTATTTTATGCTCTCCCCACCTGAATAGAAATAAGTAACTTTTTTTTTTTAACAATACTAATTGTAGAGGCCCAAACCACACAATATTAAAACAAGATATCAAATAATCCATCTCAGAACAGAAAGTAAAAGTTGCAGAAA